CAGCAGGAGGGCACCGGCGAGCTGCGGAGGAGGCTGGAGCAGTGCCCGCTGGCGCAGGCCACCCCGCTGGGCCGCAGGGACCTCGCGGGCACTGGGCCCCCGGAGGCCGCCACGTGCCCGGGCGTGGTGAGAGCCGGCCACGACGCCCGGGCCCCCGGGGTGGCAAGCGAGGCCCCAGCCACTGTCCGCCCACCCGGCCAGCCACACCGCAAGCGAGACGCAGCCCCCGAGGCGCGGTTCCTGCCCTGGGCACGGCCTGGCCCGGAGCACGAGGGGCGCCTGGCGCGGCGGGCCGGGAGCCCGAGAGGAGGCCACTGAGGGTGGGCGAGAGGAAGGATGGTGGCGTGCCGGCCTCCGAAGGAAGAAGTGCCCGGAGCAAGGGCAAGGGGCGCCGGGTCCGGCCCACCTCCCCGGAGCATGGTAGGGCTGTCGCTCCTCTGCTGCCGGGTACTGGGCAGGGGTCCCCAAGCAGACCCCTGGGGCTGGGCACTGGGGCACCCCCTGCTCTGCTGGAGATGCAAGGGGGCTCCCGCCCCGGCCCCGCTCAGCCAGCGCCCGCACTCTCCCGGCAGAGTCCTCGGACGCCTCCTACGTCTCGGCGGACGAGGACCCGCTGGAGGCGCCCGTCTTCGAGATCCCCATCCAGGACACGGCCGTGACTGTGGGGGGCGAGGTGCTGCTCAAGTGCATCGTCACTGCCAACCCCTGCCCCGAAGGTGAGGGCCCCAGGGGCAGCTGGGCCGTGGCCAAGCCGGCGTGGCTTGCGAGTTCCTGGGTGCCTGCCGGGCCCTGACATCGACTCCCCAGGTGGCCACAGCAGTGTCACTTTGCTGGGGAGGGTCCCCTCCAGCGGGGAGGGCTCGTTAGCTCGGGTTCCCACGTGCTCGTTAGGTGGGAAGCACTGAGTCACCCCCTGCGCAGCGTGAGCTCGGGGGCGGCCTGGCCCAGCCCCGGACCACGCCAGCGGCAGTGGAGCAGGGGCCACGTCATGGGCCGTGCCGTGGGCTGTCTGGGGCCTCTGCTGGGGCTCCTGCCAGGACCCTGGGGCAGGCCTCAGGGATTTGGAGCCGGGGCCCCTGGCCCCTCTCGCCCTACGGCTTCGGGGTCACCCCTCGCTCGTGGAAGCCCCCCCCAGAGGTTAACCCCTCGCCTGCCAGGCAGCAGGGCCTTGCAGAGGGTGCAAGATGTCGGTCCCAGGCAGGGCCAGAGAACCCAGGAGTGCTGCGTCTCCCTCCACCCTCCCCGTGCTGCCCTGTGGCACCTGCCCCATGGAGCCCAGGCCAGGCCAGCCCTTCCTGAGAGCTGGGGTTCAGGGCTCCCCAGGTCTGGGCATCTGCCCTCGCGGTGCCCCGGGGTCCTGATCCTGCCCCTGTGTCCAGCGGGCTCCAGCATGATCTTCCTGCCCTGCTGTGCCCCCAGTGTCGTGGCGTAAGGACGGGGTGCCCCTGCGCAGCTCAGTGGCGCGGCTGATCCGGGCAGAGGGCGAGCGCCACACGCTGCTGGTGCGCGGGGCCCGGGCGGCCGACGCCGGGCTCTACACTGTGGCGGCCGCCAACGAGGTGGGCGAATCCTGCTGCAG